CAAACTTTATAAGTGTTTTTCAAAGTGCATTGCAGTTATTAAAAAACAACCTCATATGCCCTTGCACCAAACACCCACACAGTTATACAAATCAGACAGCCACATGCATAATCTCACCCACATGCGCACACACACACACGCGCAAATGCTAAAATACATAAGGGTAGGTACAGATAAATGAGACTTGTGTGAGTGTGATTTGGTGCCCGTCTTTTTTGTAAATTCTTACAAACTAAAACAACCACCCACAAACTACAAACCAAAACCCTCACCACCATAGGGTAATTTTATGGATGTGGCAAACACTCACCATTTCCCAGAAGATCTCTGCCAGACTGGGAGCAGAGAGGACATCACAGGCAACATCAATCAGAGGAGATCCAGTTGTACCTCTCTCTGTCTGTGAAATGAATTTTTGTTTTCATATATTTACTTATATGATTACATAAAATAATGTCTGGAATTGGCTGTACCTGTAGGCTATCCTCTTCAAATGACGTGACAACAAAAGACAAGAGGCCATAAATGCACATTTTTGCTGTGCTTGCTGTGCACTGGGGGAAAAAATTATAATTATTGTTGACTGTCTCAAGTTTCTTAATGTTTTGGTTTTAAAATTTTAACAATAAAATTTTGTAAGAGTGTATATTTTCCTACATTGTTTCCAGAAGCTCCAAGACTTTTAAGCATAGTAGAGAGGTATTCAAAAACTCCCAGCTGCAGAGCAGTGTTACCAATTCTTCTGACAACGGGATTGGTCTCCTCAGGCCTCAGAGTGTGTCTCAATAAGACCCATGCTAGCAGGACAGGGCCATGATGGTGAATGTCTCCAAATGTAACTAGTAGCTGATCCATCACCTTAAATGCAAAAAAACCAAAAAAACAAAAATACATTTGTCTTTCTAAGGTCTCAACATCAATGATGTTTCAGTACAAATTAAATAATGACCTTAACCACATCAGCAGCACTTGAAAACTGATGTTGTTCAGTACGATCCTCCAGAGCACACTTGTGAAGAAAGTCTATGTCCATTCCCTCAACCAAGATAAGAGAGCCAAGGTAGCTAAAATACAAAACAAATTTAAAAAAGGACATTAACAATTAAATAAATATAAACTACCTGCTAAAATCTCCTTACCCAATACGTTCCACCAGGGCATCCATACTTTTGTCCACCAGATGTCGGTTGGTCTGGCGCAAACCAAAGCCTTGTTCCTTAAACATTCTTGTGAAGCTCAAGAGATCTGATGGGGTCATCTCAAAATAGGCATAGTATAGAAAGAGTAGCTCAAGAAGCAAAGACTGCTCTCTCAAGCACTGGAAGAACCAACGTGAAACTTGCCGTTCAGTCTGAAAAGTACAACATTTAATTTATCAAAAAAAAGGTACTCGCTTATATCTATAACTGAAGAGAGAAATATTCACCATAAGAGGTCCATGGGTTTCCCACGTTGGAGCTTCAGCATTAAAAAGATCTTTAAACTGTGTTTGACAGTTGTTAACTAGATCTTTTTCAAGTTTAGTTACACAGTTGGAGTACTCAACCTGTGCAGACAAGGGACATCAAGAACATGTCATAAGAACATATAAGATAATACTATATGCTTCTTACCCTATAGGGATGTCGCTCATCCTGAAAGTATGTCAGTAAGAGGAGGATGCATCTAAGCAGACACACACGCTCCTCATAGTAATAGTCAGTTATCTGTAAAAATATACAAGCACACAGTCAGAACCTGAGTCAAATGATGTCCTAACAAAAGCAAGCACAGATCACAACCTTTAGAAGAAGAGCCTGACTTTGCCTTTCGTCTTTCAGTACGACCTGTGCAGGAGACATTCATCATAGTTGTTTAAATTGTTTTTGCTTTTTAAGAATACAAATGGAAAAAAAATATATAAAAATATATACATTGGCCAATATATTTATATTGTTTAGTATTTTAAATCTAAAACAAACACCTTTAGTGAGTCTCGTGTTCCTCTATAGTCCTCTTGCAAGTAACACTGCAAAAGTTGGACACTTTGTTGTTCATCAAGACCCTGTTAAACAAAAAACAAAAGATATAAAACATGTACTGTACAGCTTTGATTTTTACTTCACAGTTGAGCAAGAATATTCACTCACTAATAGCTTGCTGATCCTGAGACCAAAATCCTTCAATGCTTGAGCAACATCTTTGTTTTCTTTCAGCTTCTGAGCCGATGCAGAGCTAGTTTTAGAAAATATATATATATTTATTTCCTTGTGTAATATTTGTAAGGCATGTTTACTAGTGTGTTACTATACCTGGGTGGCTTGTAATAACTCAGACCTTGGTGTATTCTTTCCCAGTGTTTATCAAGCTCCTCTTCTATTTGAGCCTTTCGGGTAAAAACAACGTGATTTAATGAAACAAAAATAATTAACAAGTGTGTGCAGTTTGCAAAAATGCATACCGGCTCGCGTAATGCGGATCTTCCCAACAGTATAGTCCATAGTTCTCTGCAGCTCCTGACAATAAAGACCATGTTGTGCATCTCAAATTAGTGGTAGGTATGTTTCAGCTACAACGACAGCATAATTTATTTGGGATTTTCAAATTTTTTATATAATTTTTGTTGTGGCTACAGATTGTTGTGTCTTTGTCTTAATTATTTGCATTTTCTGGTTTAAATTTGTCAAGAGAAATACGTTCACATGTGAGATATTGTCATGTGGCCAACACAGCGCAAACTGAGACCGTTTGAATCTCAAGTAAGTGCTAAGCTAAATTAGCATGGTAATACCGAGAGTGTAAAACCAAACACACGTGCTACTTTACCCAGCAAAAATTGTACAAACTATAAAGACAAAAGAAGAGAACCCAAACTATTTGAAGACTTCGCGGAGGAATACATCAATTATTAAATCTTTATGGCTAATTTCTTACCTGACGATCGGCCCTGAATCCGCCATTTTCGCTCCTGACTTCTGATTGGCTGTTGGGAAGCGTCGACACGTTTTTTCTTCTTCATGGGGTACTGACACTGAGAGGTTTGCATCACCATTGTCCTCTTGTGTATGTATGTTTTTTTCATCAGGATTTTCTATTATATTTCATTAATTTTTTTTTCAGTTGTACTTTTGGTCATTGTTGCTGTATTTAATTAGCACAATGAAATATAGAAATTTCCTTTCCTAGTGTTGATGAGCTGTAGTTACAAAAGACGTGTTAAATTAGTTTGACATCTCTTGCCACATTAGCTTGAAGGTGCATTGTGTAACTTGTCCATATTGTTTGAATATATTAGATGCATATGATGAATACATAAGATAATATAATATGCCTAAATTTAGCAAATGCATTAAAACAACAGAACCTGAAATGATTGAAAAGCTTTGTCAGAAGGTCTTTGACATCAGTAGTAAAGGAACCGAGTGTTTTTCAAAGAAGGAGCTAAAATGTGGCAATATTTGTCATTTTCTCCTGCACTTTCACTTAATAAATCACTTCCAAAGGACAGTGAAGTGGCTAAACGTTTGGTCCATTTGTGGTAATGGAACTGTTCACATTTTCAGAGTCGTGCTAAAAGAGCGTTCATCTCTGGAGCTCTGCCTCATGAAGGAAGAGTTTACACTAATTCGTCAAATCTAGTAAAACAAACACTTTGGTGCTCTTCTTAAATCGAAGTAAAATCATTAAAATAATTAAGAAAAATATTGGGCATGTATTGAGTCCTTTTGACATTTTTAGGCACCTTATAATAAAAATACGACTTAAAAGCAGAAGTAGCCAGCATAATCTGACGTGATAGATGCTCTTAAACATCGCCTAGATATATTTTAAATGACACGACCACTAAAGGATTTTTTCAACACTCCATTAAGGCACAATTAAAAGAAGCAAACATAAAGAAGCAATACATGAAGAAGCAAGACATAGCCCTTTAAGAAGGTGACCACGTGACCACGCTGTCAAATATGGCTTCCTCCTCCTTGGGGTGAGAAAAGCGACTGCCGATAACAAAAAAAGACTGTTCTGTGTCCAGAGAACACACAGGAGAATCTTACGTCTGAAATAGTACAACATTTAAGCGGTATGTATGGTTTGTTGTTTTTTTTCTATAGCCACAGTGCGCTCTTTCTCAGTATAAAACAGAAGTTGTGTAGTTAGCTTGACTCTTTCCTATATAGTGAGTACATTTTTTAACCTTAATCATGCACCTTTTTTACTGAAAATCACCTCAATCCCCACAGCAACAAAAGGTTGTAGCTGTGGCTTGGGTTTCTCATTCACTTTAATGTGAATGAGAAATATATTATTTTTTTCCAGCGGTTTGAAGGTTGGCAATTCGTTAAGTAAAACGACATTAAATGCTCTGATGGTGCCTCACAACTTCTCTATCTGATTTTATTTATTATTTATTATTAATTATATATTTAACATTACCATTTTATTTTCCAGGTGCTTTAACCATACTGAGAGCCTACTTGAGGATGAATGGTCCCATACCAAGGAAGTGACAGAGGTTCATTGCTGCACACCATCTGCTCAGATCCATTCACTGAATTTTGACGCTCTGGTCCTGCAGCCATGGAGATCAACCCAGCAATAGTGGAGTCCATTGTGGTGCTAGCTGTGGTGCTATGTGTTCACCTGGTGGTCTGGAACCAGCACTCCTGGTGTAGTATAGCCCTCATCATTCAAGCTTTCTATGTTCAACACAAATGGGACCGTCTGCTCAAATCAGGAGGCGCTGTATTTCAGTTTCGCCCTTCTGCAAACAGTGGCATTGTCCCAGCCTCTATGGTCATGCCCCTACTTGGTCTAGCATTAAGAGAGAAATGCTCTGCCTCGGGAAATGTTTACTTTGAGCGCTTCTCCATGGTCATCACAATAACAGGCATGATGTTGGCTCTGTTTCTCTCTCTGATTGCTCTTGGCATCACTAGACCTCTACCCACAAATACCTGCATTATTGCTGGTATGGCTGCCAGTGCCATTGTTTATACAACTAAACAGACTCTCACTGTCTCTGAGGTCATTGAGGTTTTGGAGGTGCTGTTAATATTTGTGTACCTCAGCCTGATTGTGCTTTACCTCCTGCCTCGCTGCTTCACACCTGGAGAAGCACTTCTCATTGTTGGAGGAATCAGTTTCATTGTGAACCAGCTCATTAAACGCTCGCTGAATCTGGCAGAGGTCAAAGGTGACCCAGTTAACTATTTACTGCCAGTGGTAGTCTTGGGTTCTTTGTTACTGGGAATGTTTTTTGCTTTACTCTTCTGCTTCATGGAATCAGAAACATGGGTTTCATCGCTGTTTTTTCACATAATGACTGCTGTCCTGGGGCTTGGAATCCTCTTGCCGTGGCTGGCTTTGTTTATTGGACGCCATCCTATTATGTGGCTAATAGACTTTCTCACATTAAATGACAAGAGACTGTGTCTTCTGGGGTATTGGGTTTTGCTTGCAGTAGGGGCCACCTGTGTTGTTCTACATCAAAATTACCAGCGACAGTCAGGCTCGAAAAAGCATCAAGCATCAACAGTAGTCAGAAAGTACTTTCATTTGATTGTAGTGGCTACATATGTTCCGGGGCTGATCTATGACCGACAGTTGCTCCATGTCGCATCCGTTGGTTGCCTTGCTGTGTTTTTGTTCCTGGAATATGTGCGTTACTTTCGGATACGACCACTAGGCCAGCTTCTACGGCAGTTACTTACATTATTCCTGGATGAGAGGGACTCTGGGCCTCTCATCCTCACACACATCTATCTGCTCATGGGAATGTCATTGCCGGTGTGGCTGTTCCCAGGACCCTGTGCTCCTAAAGGGGTGCTCCCTGGAGCAGGGGGCTTGGTGCCTTATGCAGGCGTGCTGGCTGTTGGTGTTGGAGACACCGTGGCCTCTGTATTTGGCAGCACAATGGGGGAGATCCGGTGGCCAGGCACAAAGAAAACCATGGAGGGGACTGCAACATCAGTTTTTGCACAGATCATTGCTGTGGCATTTTTTCTTATTTTTGATGGGAATATCAATCTGAACTCTACCTACTCATGGATTGTTGGTTCCATCACTCTGGTGGCCATGCTAGAAGCGTACACCTCACAAATCGACAATCTCCTCCTGCCATTGTACCTCTTCATCCTGCTCTTGATTTAAACATCAAGCAATTACAAAATATTCTGAAAATGTTATGTACACAAGCATACTCTTTTGTAAGAACAAAACTACTTGTTAACTATAAACAATGCATACAACTGTTTCGGCAACATAATGTATTGTGATAACTTTTCTGTCCCATGACGTTGCATTTATTAGATATCAATTATTCAGATTTTGGAGCACAATGATTTAATTGTTTTTTTGTTCTTAAGATAGCTATTGAAAACTGGCAAGTAAAATGGTACTACCTTAACCCTTTAAATACTATTGCCCTTGAAGAACAGACTTAGATGTAAAATATGTAAAGTTTGCCTATTTGTGAAGTGTGAAAGAATGTTTGCCTTAATATTTTTTTACAAAAATCATGTCCAGGAGAACGTGCATCACTTCTGCAAAGCCCTTACATTTTGTTTTGTAAAATGTAAGTATAATGCCTACATACCCAAATCAACATTTCTGTTCAGTTAGAATATCATTATGAGAAACATATTATTGTGACATTGTACCTGCATGATCATACTGTTTACAATTTTATTTTATTTTTTTTAATCCTTACTGTGAAGATGAAGATGCAAAATACGATGAGATGAAGTGCAGTCACTCTTACTATTCAAGTGCTTTAATGTTTTCAGTGTATTTCCAATGTAGTGTTATTTATAATACATGCTAATTTATTATCTTACCATGTCTGTCTTACCATGAAAAAACTTAAACCATCTGCTGTTAAAGAAATCAATTTTAATGGGCCCAATTTGCTGGAAAAAAGTGGCAATGATAATTAAACTGAATAAAAAGGTTTGAATTGACATGATGTCTATTTATTTTGTATAGAGGAGTGGGAATGGGAGTTCTTCAGTGGGTTGTAACCTGAAAATAAGAACAGTATTAGCATAATAGTATAGAATATAATTTTTTATTTCTCTGTGTAAATAGAAGCCAAACATACCAGTTTTCAGGACTCCATTGGGTGTCCTGGGATTCCATCATGTGGAAGGTGTAGACATGACGGGAATTTTCTGATTTGTTTTCATTGCTTTGATGTACTACTTCACCATGGATAAGGACTACACCACCTGCACAATCACAAGAGTTATTAGAGTTAATAAAGAAACCAGTCTGTTTATTTTTTGTAAAAAAAAAAGTTAATGTGCAGGATTGTGTAACAAGGGCAAGTAAATTATCAATTAGGTTCCAAATATACCTTTTTTAACTGGTGCAGGGACAAATTTGTCTTCTTCATATGTCCGTTCCTGACCAATGAAGTTAGTCAGTGGATAGGTGCCCTTTGGGGCACGCACCATACGTCGGGTTATGCCATCTGCATGACCATATATTTTAACTGACTTTCAAAACAGATTACTAAGGGATACTTTCAAGTTAAAAGAACTCACCCTTTTGTGATCCTGGGATAAACCAAAGGCAGCCATTATTGACTGTAGCATCTTCCAAAGCTATCCATACACCCATGACTCTGCCCAGTGGCTCAGTGTACAAAAATGTGGCATCTTGATGAGCTGTTACTAAAGAAAAAAAGAACACAGTATCACTTATAAAGTAATACAGCATTTATATGAAAATAAAAATCTACAAAAAAGTATCATCTCACCTTCTCCTCCGAAGCCTGGTTGCTACATCATGGAGAAAAACAGCAAACTGTTAACCAGCAAAGCACATACCATTGTAATGATAATGAACATTCAAGTGCATAAATTGTAAGCCTACCTTAAAGATGTACATGCTTTGTACAATAACAGGCCTTGTTAGGCCCATTTTTTTTGCTATACCCTGAGAACAAAAACATTAAAGACAGGTGTTTGCTGTGTTCTTAAAGTATAGAGAAGCTATACATCAGCTGCAGATGATACTGGATACTATTTTTGACATAAAATGTTCACTAAATATTGGTAATAACTTAAGTAATCTACACTTGCAAAGAAATGAACACCATCCGTTATTTTATGTCCAGGCACTGGCTGGTTATTTTTTTGGGAAATGATTTCCCCTCCACTTTTTAGCCAATGATCACCAGAACAATAAAGTTTAAAAAGCCTTCTGTAACTAATGCTGATAGCTCTCAGCTGGTCAACCATTGGCTTTCTATGTCCAAACTTTTTTCATGTGTCCAATAGTTTGTCCAGGTTCGATTTTATGTGCATGTGTGGATTACTTAGCAATATCTGGAGAAAATATCTTATCAGTAACACCTTCTAGAAAAACATATTTTTGTGTAATTTAAAGTGTCAACTCACCTGTATCCTGGGTGAATGTGTAATCTTTTTAAACAAAGGTTCATTAGCATGGAGGGCTTGAGAAAAACATTTAAAAGAAGTTATTGATCAACATAAATCAATCAATTAATTAATTAATTAATTAATTAAAACTAAGGCACATATTTGTTGTTCCTTACCATGTCCTACTTTATTGAGTGACTTATTTTTGGGAACAACAAACTCCCCTGCACAAAAAGGCAAAAATCTCATATGGCTTCTGCAATTATATATATATATTTTAAACTGTACTGTTTCACTAGACCTACCCTTGTCATCAAAAACTCCCTTTTCAAAGAAAAATCGAATTTTATCTCCACTTGTGATAAAATAATCTGCATTTCCCTGTTGGTTGTAAAGGTAAATGGTCATCTTTACAGAAAACACAGGCCAAAGTCAAACACACAGTGTTGACATAGTTTTCTCATTTACCCAAGTCACAAAGGTCAAAGAAAACACTAGAAATAGGCCTACAGATTAGGGCAGGACAGTTCCCATGAAAATGGAAAACTTACCTGCATCTTTACAATTAAGCATGCAAAACAAACATTCCACATAAGTGATAAATAAGCTATAAACCAAGTAATTTTAAATAAGTCCATGCGACCATGTTACTTGTGTTTTAAGTTGCTCATCATGATAGGTGGAGAATGTGGTGCGACAGTACTCTGGGACATCCATATGGTCCACAATCTCAGCCATCCTCTGCCTGAGTTCATCACACTGTTGAGGGGTGAGTAGCCCATCCAAGACCACATAGCCATCCTCCATGTACTGAACACAAACAGGTTTAACTATAGATTCCACACACTGTACTATCTATCTATCTATCTATCTATCTATCTATCTATCTATCTATCTATCTATCTATCTATCTATCTATCTATCTATCTATCTATCTATCTATCTATCTATCTATCTATCCATCTATCCATCCATCCATCCCTCAGAAAGGTGCACAAATGAGAACCTCAAATAAACAAAATAAACACACATCAAAGATAAAGCATAACACTGCCAAAGCAGCGGGAGGCTCGGCTACAGAAAATGAGTTTGTGTCAAATTGTTACTAACCGTTTGCACATCACGATCAGTCATGAAATCCATCTTTGCAGGGGCTTTTGCTCAAGTAATAAATTTTACACAGCGAAATGGATAACTTCAACTATAGAGCAGATCGTTTCCGATCATGTGATATAACCTAGTGAACTAATCGGATTTTGGACTCCCCCCCCCACATATGCAGTGGTGCATTTTAGCCACTAGATGTCATATGTTTTGTCCATGTTTTTCCCGAGAAAAACGTACAGCAACGGGAAAGCAGTGGTGCAATATGTTATCTTCCTGCTAGAGTCCAGCAAAAACTTGTCTCCCATGAAATATTGTTTTGCCAGAAATGTTCACAGTATGGCATTATAGTTGTACCTTTTATTGCTAAGAGTCAAAAACTTAGAACATGCATTTTTACCAGAGACGTTTTACAGATTCTTAGTTATCCAACTTGCCTGAAGATCTACAAGTTCCATGTCATACTGTGGAACATCTCAGGCCAAGCAATACAATTTCCATGGAGAACGGCAGGAGTGTGACCTTCCACCAAACTGAAGTTACACAGTGTACCTTTAAGAGGTAGGGATATGCCCATTGACTATACATGTCACAAGGAGGGTGTTAACAATACAAAATTATAAAATATTTGATGTTGCCATTTTATTGATCGCTTTAAATTGTTGAGTGTACAAATTAGATTTTCCACTTAGAAAAGTCAATGTGTCACTGTGTTTTCTCTGCACTATACATATGATTTAAAGCTGGTCAGACAAGTCCACTTTACAAATACAATGAGATTAAAGGGGACTTGAGTAAAATGAAAACAGTGAAACTAAACATCTGCAAATGAAAACATTATTACAAACTGCTCTGTGAAATATGAATAGTATTCAGACCATTAATTAAAATGTAGCCCACAAGTCATTTTGAGATTGTCAGAAAGGTGCACAAATTAAAACATTCCCTCAAATATGTCTTGAGAAGTAGTGCAATATAAATAGGAACAAACTTTTAATTAAATATAAATAAACATCATGTAACCCGCATGACCAGAGATCAGCTGTTGAATTTGCTTTCTTTGAGTCACAGACCTGGTACTGATTAAGAGGAAATGAGTAACACACAAAAAGTCTGTCTGTGCAGAAAAAGGTCATCTTAAATAGAAAACAAGGAGTTGCTTCAAAATGAGTTTTTTTTCTTTGAAACAAACATATTGTTGATTTTGATGGGCTTTTCCATCTCAAATCTCATTTAACATATTATTTTTGAAGACCTTAAACATAATTTGCCACATAAATATACATAAAATATATAACATGGAAAAAAACAAAAACAAAAAAAACATTAGATAAAACAAAATAAAAACATCTGGTTATAACAAAAGGTACCAAAGTTATATTTTGGTAATACCAGCAAGGTAATGAAATGTTTTGATTTTCAATATCATACATCTGCAATAAGGCTTTAACAAGTCATGCTTGTCATGGTTAGAGTAAACTTAACTCATTTAATCTATGTTAGTTACACCATTCAAACCCTGCTATTAAGATACAAGCAGACACAGCATGCTGAATGTATCTGAAATAATCATACCACCACCCGAAAAGCATTTTAGCCTAATGTAGTGAAGGAAAAAAAAGTTTAAATATCTCAATCATACTGTGCAAGCTTGCATCATTCATGTTAAGACAATAAAAAAGCACTGTGTGTGGCGTCTGTCAAATATTATTTACCCTGTACAAAAGGCATAACTCATAGGACTCTTGACACTAAAGTAAAGCATATACTGCCATATACTGGATAAAGGTCATTTCTGGATTACAGGCATAGATACTGTACAATACAAAAAGGCAATAAAAACGGATAAAAACATTATGGCAATAACCATACCCAGGCTTTGTGAACCAATCTTTTTTACATGCTCAGACATGATGTGTATGGATGAAAACCATGCTATATAATGTCTGCTTCAAGAGATACAAATGTTAGCATGACTAATATCTCAGTTAAACTGAATCAAGTCATACTTAAACAAGAGACTGTAATTCCTAACCATGCAAATGCTCATTCAGACATGATCTACTTCTTTATGAGGGTTGATGATTAGATTATAAACTGAAGAGCTGTTGTTCAATCATTGTCCATTGGTTCAATTAAGTTGTCACATTAAGGCTTACGTACGCTGTATACTCATTGTGAGGAAGGAAGAAAGAAAAGCTGGACATGGGTCTGATGGAAATAAATGATTGCAAAGTATTGCTAAAATATTCTTTGAAAACACAAGGCCTTCTTGCTAAGATGAAAAAGCATTACATAGATTCACTATGGTGAATATTTAAGTAGTGGGGCAATTACAGTGACATCCATGATTTTGATGTAGAGGCAGTCTGAATAAAAATATCAGGAGAGCTTTTCTAAGCACACACAGTGGCTGAAGTACATCTCTGTAGGATTGCCTGCCATAAAAAAAAAAACAACAGCTTGCCTTTTCTCTTGTTTTCCTCCAACAATAAAGCTTTGGACTGTGTTTGACTCAAACTTGCTCCTTATCAGCCCTCCAAAGCTGCTCTTTCACTTCTGATGGCAAGGTGTTGAAGAGATCTTCCTCCACGACCAGGCCACTTCTCTTAAGAAGGCGACACTCCCCCAGCTCCACAGGCAGGCACTCCAGCCGGTTCCCTCTGAGCTCCAGCTGAGTGAGGCCAGTGAGCTCTCCAAACCGCGATGGAAGAGTTTGCAAGCAGTTGTTTCCAAGATTCAAAGTGCGCAGCTTCTTGCACTGGAATAACTCTGGAGGCAAAGTCTCGATCTGAAATAATGCCCAGAATAAAGTGGTCAGGAAAATGCTTTAAATATTTAATGCAGTTGCCATCACAACAATAAAATCTAAGTGTTTTCACAAATAATACACAGGGTCTGTCATAAGAATATTTAAAAGGTGATGAAATGCAAAATGTCAAACAAAGCAAACAAAAGCAGCATATATGTTAGATATTATCAATGTGGTTACTCACCCTATTTGCAGTTACGGCAAAGTACTGTAAGTTTTGAAGGAAGCCGACATCTGCTGGGATGCTCGTCAAGTTATTGTGACTCAGGTCAAGGAATCGAAGCTTACGGCAGAAAAACAGCTGACTGGGGATTTTCTCAATCTTGTTCCTATTGAGATAGAGCCTTTCCAGGTTGGTGAGAGTGCCAATTTGAATGGGGATATACGCGATCTGATTGTACCACAGCTTGAGGCACACAAGTCGGTGCAAGTGCTGAAAGCTGATGATCTCCTCGATAGTCTTCAAATTATTGTCCTTCAGGTCAATCTCCTGCAGGTTGTGCAAACTAAAAATGGAGTGTGGGATGCGTTCAAGGTCACAACGAACCAGTTCCAACTCTGAGAGGTTAACCATTTTCTTCAGACTGTTGAGAACCATCAGCTTGGTTCCTTCATTGTTGATGGAGAGCTTCTGAAGATGTACACCAACATCAGTCACAACCTGGGGCAGTTTTGTTAGATTGCTCTTCAGACGCAGCACCTTGAGTCGTTTCAGTTCACGGAGACCATCAATGACGATAAACCGATTATTATCAGCGCTGAGGTTGCCAGTTAGGTGCAGTTCACTGAGGTTCTTTAAACTGTAAATCCATAATGGGATCTCCTTGATATCAGTGAATTTGATGTGGAGCGACTTAAGGTTCTCCCTCAAAAAAGCCAGTGCTGGGGCCTCAATTTTAGCTGGCGTGTGATACAGCCACATCTCTCTCAAGTTGGAAAGCTGTGCAATAATTGGAGGAATAGTAACATCCGGTATAAGCTCAAGTTTGAGCACTTCTAGCTCTACCAGATCAAAGACTGTGTCCGGAATTCCACTGAGCATAAAGAGATGTAACTCCAACTTATCCTGGGAGTTTTTGGTGATGCGCTGCCTCAGCTTCTCTAGAGTCCACTCATTGTTCAAGTTCAGTTGTCTCAGCTTGTTCTCACTCACCTCAGAAGAGAAAAACTGCAAAGCGCTTGGAGTATAAAGGATCATACTGATCTATCATATGTAACATGAAGGCAAAATCATTTTTAACGTCAGGTATGTCGCTATAACTACTTTCTTCACGGATTGACTCAAATGAGTATCGTTTTAGGGATCGACTGACCATCCAACATAGTGTGTACATGCAAATCAAACCATAAACAACCACCAAGCTAATGTAAAAACAAGCTAAAATCTTAAAAAGAGTAGCCAGTGGGTGGGCACAGTAAAACATGCCATACCCTGTGAGCTTTTCCATGGCCTTTACATTGCACACTACATTAAACTTTATATTCTGGACGTAGTAAGCAGTGTAGGAAATGATGAGGATGAACTTGATAACTTTGATGATGGTTTGTCGTATATAAAGACAGTAAACTATATCGCCCTCTTCAACATGAATTCTAAACTTCTTCACTTTCTCAAAAAGTGCCTTAGCCTGCTCACCCTCCTTTTTGTCTAAAACCCCAGTGTCCGAACGGTCTACAATTCCCTGTTCAATTCTGGACTTGGTTCGTTGAAGCATGGGCACACTAGCCTCCACGTCTTCACTGATACTAGATGCCTTCTTATCCATTGAGCCATTCATTTTGCCTGGAGGCTTAGGGTCACTCTCCTCCACCACAGTCTCAGACAAAGCTCTTGTTGTCCATGGGGAGTCAAAGCACTTGAGGAGTATAGAAACAAAATGCTCCAGTTTTGAACTTGTGCGGGGGAACTTGAACCAGAAGTTACTGCAGGCAAGAAAAATAAGAGTGTGGAGGAGCACCAGATAAGGAAAATATTTGGCAAACCAGTGTAGTTTGTTCTCATAGCACACAGCGTCGACATAATTGTACTGATGGCGGTCAAGGTCATACTGAATGCCTTTAGGCTCTGGAGCATAGGGAATGGTAATATTTGGCACTGGCCTAGTCTCACAGGTTGTATTGCTCACCCACTTGCAAGGCAGGCATATCATCTTGTCCTGAGTGACCTGCAGTGTCCCACCAAAAACTGCAATCATTAGCATGACGATTGAGATGTAATCTGTAAAAACATCCCACCATGGTTTTAAGATGCGGTATGCCGGCTGGGTATCAGCAAAATACCGAAGTTCGGTGATGGGTATCATGATGGTTTATCTGAAAAGAAAAAGCAAGTCTATATAAATAAAAGAAATATATTTTAAATTTAAATTTAAAAGTATATAAGTCAACACACCCCTCCCTGTTTCATAATGATACTAAAGAAATAACACAGTTTGCTGCAGAGAACCTAGTATAACTAAGAATAGTGATGATTCACTATGATGGAAAACTCTCCTCTGGTTTCTGTTACAATGCTCTGTAAACAACAAGCAACAATAAAACATATCAAATCATACATTTGCAATTTTAAGTGTTTTATATCATGGGTAATTGGTAAACATGCGGTAGCCTATTTATATGTTTTGAAACAAGAAGCATAATGGCCAACATGTTAATTACATGTATAGCTTTATCTTAATATTTTTATCATAATCTGCATTCACCAATTTATTGTCCATGATTACATAGAAATTTGAGCAAATGCGCCTTTCTGAGACTTGATAAATACACATTCCATTTAAACATTGTTACTGCTCCCTAAAATACCATCGCACCGCGGTTGTTTGCGCAAATTCCTATATATACCCGCTCTCAAACAAAGAAAAACTCTTTACAAAGAAAAAATAATGCCAATGCAGCAGTGTTACAACTCCTATACGTCTGGAAACGGGTCAAGATTTTGAGCCCCGAAGCGACCTTTTCAGTGAAAGTTAATTTTCCACTGGGAGGAATACTTGTTTCCTATCTAGTCAAATAGAGCACTTTAAAAAGCATCATCGCCTTCCATTTTTTCTTAAACACAGTAAAGACTTACCAGCTTTGATGCAGTTTATTTCTGTAATCCACTCCACGCTCGGTTCACGCATTTCTATCACGTTTTAAGGCGCTGTAGTGTTTGAGACGAGAGGCCCCGGCCCCGTCCCCGTTAACAGTGAGCTTTTCCTTTCTGTTCGACTATTTGACGCCGCCTACTGTGTTGGAGAATAATGTACATAATATATATATATTTTTTGGCGTGTTTTAATGTATGTATTTTGGAGGTATATCTACATGTTGTATATTCACTGGGAAGACGAAACTGCATTTTAGAAGAGTCAAATCTAAAAACAAGCTATAGTTTTGACACAAAGTAGTGATGTCATCAGACAGCGACAGACTGCTGAATTCACGCCAATTGAAGAAATGTTTATGGGATGAGCTCTCTACTTTCTCCAACTTTTACAATGATCCGCTCCGCTATTTTAAGCTCACGGGGAACGCACAAGCTAATACGTTTATTGGGGGGATACAGCTCTGGGTCAGCTCTCCAAAGATATTGTATTTCAATGTATAGTTTCACATCATCAGTGACTACAAAACAGCATGCTTCCACTCAACGAGGACGGGTTTTGAATGTTTTTGTGGGAAATGACAGATTTGGACCAACGCTGGACTTCAATGCCTTCACAACTTGTTCAAGTGAAGGTAGTAACGCTGTTGGAAAAGTCAAATCAACACATTATCATCTTGTTTACACATGCAAGGTACCATAGTGGTTTCTTTGGGATGATCGGTAACAGTATTATAACTACTAAGAAGAAATCATGAATCATGTTGTACTGTATTGCTGGGTTGCAGGTTTGTTCCTCCAGATCCACTGAAAAGATATCCAAGTTGGCGTACTATCATGGAGTAGTGATTGTGACATGTCCAGGATGCAAAAATCATCACATAATTGCTGATAACCTCGGCTGGTTCTCTGACCTTGCAGGAAAAAGGTTTATATCTGTGTTTACAATCTCTCATGCACAAGTTATTAGATAAAGACATCAAATTATGATATAAATCTGTTATGATTTGCTTAAACGCCCGAAGTCTGATCTAAAGCGTTGAATAAACGCAGAGGCTGATCCCAGTTTAGACTGGTGTATGTATACTGTAATTTCCTTGATGACTTATCTCTTGTACTCTTTAGGAATATTGAGGAAATCCTTGCTGCCAAAGGTGAGACAGTGAAGAGGGTTGAAGGCAGCTCAGCGCTGGAAATACTAGAGGATGAATCTCAGAAAGATAAATGCCAAAATGATTTACATAAAAAAAACAATAACACAACAAAAACATAAAATTGTGAGAATTCTCATGTGGTAATAAATGTTTTTTAAACCAGTAATGTATTGTTATTTTATCTTTACCATTTTTTATAAAATTTAAATTACATTTTCATACGTGTGCAGTACATGATTATCTTATGATAATCTCGCGAGATCACGTGTTTGTTTATGCTACCAGTAACTAGCGTTTAGCCTTGTCAAATATTGATATGGCTGCTTTTGAACTATTAACTGAGACGGAAAAGCCACGACATCATCCATTCTTGATTGGTGTCAGCGGGGGAACAGCTAGCGGCAAGGTACAGTATCAATGAGGTCATGCATTTCAATAAAATGTGCATTAGCCATGCACTTCTGATAAACTGAGCGGGTTAGCAGTCATCTAGCATTAGCTGACAACCTGTTTTGTTACCAAGATGTCAAATGCGGCACGCCCATTTAAAAAAAGGCTTTATTAACAATATCTAAAGCTAATTAGAAAATACTGTATCCTTGCGTTTATTATAATTCTTACTGCTTGTGGAAAATAACATAGCCTAGCTGAAATGCATCATAGACATTATATATAGGCATTCCTGCACTGAAGATTTAGAGGTTATAAGCATGCTGTTTTGGTTACAAGGCTCTTTCTGCACTTGGTCATAACATTGCCCTATTTATAAAGCAACGTTTATGTGTATTCTTAGTCAACAGTCTGTGCCAAAATTATGGAGCTTTTGGGCCAGAATAAAGTGGACCACCACCAAAGAAAGGTTGCCATCATAAGCCAAGAGAGCTTCTACAAAATACTCACTCCTGAGCAAAAAGCCAAGGCTCTTAGAGGGCAGTACAACTTTGATCATCCAGGTGAGCCATGATGTTGGACTGGTATTTATAACTTAATGAAAAACTTTTTTTTTTTTTTTTTAGAGGCCTTCGATACTGAATTAATGTACCAAACACTGAAAGACATCGTGGAGGGCAGAGTTGTTGAAGTCCCAACATATGACTGTGTAACTCATTCCAGGTATGAGCAATCACATAATCCAGTTTGTATTTCAGCATTGTATCCCTCTTCAGTGTATGTGTTTGTTCTAAATGGTTCCAGACTTCCAGAGAGCGTTACCTTTTACCCTGCAGATGTAGTCTTATTTGAGGGCATCCTAGTTTTTTACCCGCTAAAAGTGAGAGAGATGTTCCATATGAAGCTCTTCGTGGACACCGATTCAGATGTCAGACTGTCCCGCAGAGGTGACCCTAACAACCATGCAGCACACATGAAAATACATTTCTTCAACAATTAAATTTATATCTGTATCTTCAGTTCTACGAGATGTAAATCGTGGAAGAGACCTAGAGCAAATTCTCACTCAGTACACAACATTTGTCAAGCCTGCATTTGAGGAGTTCTGTCTTCCTGTATGTATTAAGATAGATATGCCTGTTTCTAGAATGTCAGTCGCTCAAATATCTTTCCTTTTGTTGTCTATCAGACAAAAAAATATGCAGATGTTATAATCCCGAGAGGCGTTGATAATATGGGTATGTTCCACCTTCTTTTATTGCCATTTTGTAAACAGTATTAATTCACTGTACTTTTTTTATCCTCATGTTTAGTGGCAATTAACTTGATTGTCCAGCACATTCAAGATATTTTGAATGGTGACATCTGCAAATGGCAACGCACATCTATCAGTGGTCGTGGATTTAAGAGGGCAGTTTCAGAGCAGGGCAACCTACAGAATGGCATTGCTAATCCTCCAGGAAAAAGGATCTTGTTGGAACCCAGCAGCAGACCTCACTGAGAAATGGGATGCAGATCATTCAGCTATGTAAGCAGAGGTGGGTAGTGTAGCCAAAAAAAAAAACATACCTGGGCTATATATTTATAAAGGGTGGTACTATTGAAATGCCACGCTACCATTTTAGTGTGTTCAGGCAGACAAAATATAAAATACCACACTGTCTAATTTGTTTTCATGGTACATGAATATCATTGTTAAAAATATTTTTAAAGATTTAGGTACAATGAAACCCAAACATTCATAATTATGTTATTACAATAGACTTAACAGTACTCTCATTTGAGTAACTCCTTTAATAATAATGCTAGCATTCAAATAAAAAGTGTGATGAATCTACCAAAGTTCACTTTCTTTTAAGTTAAAAAACTCATTAGCCTCCACCTCTGTGTATAAGCAAGTGTGACTGCTGCAGATTTGTGGGTTAGTTAGTTTTTCCTAACCATCCAAGTGTGCATTTTAATGTCAGAAATGTTGATTTTAGCAGTCTTCCATTTCTACTGTAATGATTGATGACTTGCTGCTGAATTTTATGTTTATATGTACTATATTTAAATATTTAATACACACTATATTTCTCCTGTATATGTGTCTTTGTCTTAATTCAAGCTCTTGATCTTGGTGAATTTACAAGATAAAACATCTGACTACATATAAGAAGAACTAGCTTTGGAAACATGTGTAGAAACATTTGTTTTATTGATTAAGAGTGTGATGTGTGATTTTGGCCAATATTCAAAAATGAGTTGAAATGATTTACTATAGAACGTTTTGGAATGACAAGCACACAATCACTGTAGACTTCAGTCACACTTCTTGCAGACACACAAAACTTGCGCCCAATTCTGACTGCCTGATGGTTCCCTACGTAAACACAAGAGACAATGATTCAGTATGATGTACATAGATCACAGCATCTTTTGTAATCAATAATTTTTTGCTTTTGCTTTTTTAGTGCACATATGTATGGCACTTAAGAGAAGCCAAGCTCTTCTCATTAGCATAAACAAACATCCTTTTATAAACAAAAGGAGAACTGTATATAATACATATTATAACCATAGTTGATTTCTGACAAAGTGTTTCAAAACAAACTCATCAGATCCAGTCTTTAAAGGTCATCCTTTCTTCAAGTTCAGTTCCTCTCTAGCTTCAACAGACTCCCAGGCCCGCGGCAGTTCATTGCAAGCTGTACTTGAGGCTCTGCTGTTTGAGGAAGAGTCAGGCTTCAGAAGATGACCAGTAAATGGCACATGATGTAATGGAGGGGGAAAGAGCAAATTGCAAAGTAATGGACCATTCAACTCAAGCTCACCCACACTCAACAGCTCCACTCTATAACAGATTCCAGTAAGCAGACTTTGGTTTTTGTACCAGTGTTGCCCTGTCTGCCTTGTGATTCTTTACTCCTCCTCAGTCCCGGGCATCCTCCCATTTCAGTGTCACCTCTCATTGTTTAAATACCAGAACCACAGTAATCCCAATTACTTCTCTCACAGCAGTGGAGCTCCTTGTAAACACAACACTGTTTTCTCAAAATGAGTCTCCCATTGCCCAGGTATATAGCATCCATTCTTCTTTCTTTCATTCTGTAGTAAAGTGGAGATAGTGTCATGAAGCACAGTTGGAGGTCATTTCTAGAGCCTCAGGATGAAGGCCCAGTGGGCCTAGGTCTTTTCCTCACGATCTGTTTTACGTCTAGCAATGTTTCTGGGCTTAATTTTTAGTGACAGCTCCCATAGCGCCTCTTCTGCAAGGTGGTCACTGAAATCATTGAAGAAAGATACAATATCTTCATTTCGTTTCAGCTCGTAATGCCTGGAATGAGAAGAGATCTTTTAAAAAGGAGCAATTTACAGCATCACCAATATTTTATTCACACAACATCTACAAAGTAGAAGACATACACTTGCTGGAAGCGACGCATGCTGTCCAAGATGTTGAATTGTTGCCAGCGTTTGGAGAAATTGACTTTTCCCTCAATGAGGTCTGGATTTCCCAAATGCACAAATGTCAGGTCCTGTAGAATAAGACCCCTAAGAGACAGAAATTGTGTTTAATAAAACTGCAAACATAATGGAGATATTTATGATTGTGACTGCATTATCAAATGGCTCACAAATAGGGGATGCAAGGAGGTTCCACTTCAGCAAGAGCTGCTCTGTATGCTCTGAAGGAGGAGGAGCTGTCAATCAATGTGCAATATTCCTCCAACCCCTAAGGATTAAACATATATAATGTACACATGATGATGCTTATATACATAACACCTACAAGCATTTTCAAATTTATCTGACCTCAGAAGTCTGCTTTTGCCACTCCAATCTCCTAATAGGGGCAGAGTCCAGTGCAGACAGTATTGCCAAGTATGAGTTGAAATTATTCAACTTTCTTAAGTGCTACAATTAAAAATTTTATTATAGCATTCAAATGGACACATACAACAGATTTTATCATGTGTAACAAACCTTCATTATTTTAATGAACTTGAGAAGCAGCTTTTCTCGGTCTTGAGGTTTCTCCTGCTGGATTATCAAAGAGCGAACCCTACAAAAAAGGAGTTTGTTCAACTGTGTGCACGTGTTCTGAACAAAAGAACAGATCTTTGTGTCTTACCAGTAACTCATGTTGTTAAAATGCTCAGTAAATTGAGTCAAGTTAGGACTCTTCTCCTCATTTTGCTCCTTAGCCCAAAGTAGAACTTCTGGAATCTGAATGTGCATTGATAAATTGGTATTGACACTTTTAAAGAGAAGTAATGAAAACAAAATAAAAAGATCAAAATAATTACTTCAATTTTATAGAAGAGTTCAGCATCAAGAAGAGTGAGCTGATCTGCAATTTCATGACTACGGAAGTCATGGAGGGTACCAGGCCTGCCAACACAGACATAACACCTTATTTACACTTGGATGTCCTGGACATTTTTTTTTGTGTGTTTGTCTTTTCCAAACAGGACTGCTCTAGTACCTGGCAGAGACACCCCTTGCCGAGAGGGGTTTTAGGGAGTTTGTGTAGCGTAGCAGCTTTTTCTGCTCCACTTTGTCCAGGATGTTCTTCCGGAGCACACGAGCAAGGCTTAGTTCACCATTACACACTAACGTGAATACTAGATCCATTAGCTGTTTAAGGATGTCCTCTGTCAGCTCCACAAGACTGAAAAAAGACAACAATTCAATTTTCACTAAACAAAAGTACCGAAAGTATTCAGTTGAAGGACTCACCACAGCTCATCCACCACTCTGACCAAAACAAAGAAAGTATTCTTGCTGACCCTCTTCTTGAATATGTCTGGACTGTGACAAAACCTTGTATATGTGCAGTGTTGTCAAGAATAACATAATGCAGCAAATTAGAGTTATAACGGCTCAAATGAAATGCATTATTGCAAGAGAAACAAGGAAATACTATTTAAAACATAATACATAATACAAAAACAGCACAAAAAGATGAAAACATAACATAAGCATATGAATAACCAAACTAAATACACTGCTTGCAAAAATTAAAGGAACACTTTAAAAATGTGGAAAAAAATGCTGGATATCTATACAAATATGGACAGGGCAATGTCTTTGGAACAAAAAGGATGCCACCTTTTAATGGAAATTGACAACAGTTGTACTAGTGTGACAAAAATTAGACAACCCCTAAAACAGGACTGGTTTTGCACGTGGAGGTCATTTCAAGTCTGGTTTTCCACTAGTGCTGGCTTTGCCTAGAGTTATTATCATTACTGGGAGTATGAAGCCATTCCTTAACCTTACAGAAGTTGCGTTTTTTTGCGTTGTGTTTTAAAGTGTTGATTTAATTTTTGTGAGCAATATATGTTGTCTGGTGTTCATCAGAAAAGGATATCTGTAATGTAGCTTCTTAATAAGGTCCTCTGGGGTTATAAAAGTCCGATATGTTGTCAGAAATGCTTCACAGTAGAGAACCAGATCTGTCAAGTAAAAACAAGTGCATTGCAATTTCTGTCAGGGAAATTAATGCCAGTCTCAACAGAAATAAGAACTGTTGCCTTATACTGTACTGTACCTTTTCGGTCTGTTTCTGTAGCATGGACTAATAAAATATCCCCAGATCCAGCTCGAACATCTGGCCCATCATCATTCTGACAAAATCACAAAAGAAAACAATGAAACAGATGACAGGATATAAGGTGGGAGAAGAAAACACCAGCTGGACAGCAGAAGTCAGACCAAGTTCCTCCCCAAAGAGCACATACATTATCCAATATTTGGCTTATATAAAGCTTGATGATCAAAGAACTGAGATCTATTCTGTATCATTTCTAATGATAACTGTAGCACCATTATTTTTAAATTTTTCCAAGGAACTACATTTTCTCAACTACATAACATTCATTAGAGGAGGGCTTTTAAGTAGCTATTCTTTGTTATGTTGTCCTATAAATTCTTTCACTATTACTGGTAAGTATAATAAACTGTCTTCACTAGATCTTACATTATAAAATACAAATAATATTATAAAATTACCTCTTGTTTTAGTGTTATCCTGCTCATAATCTCTTTATGGTCAATAAGGGACAACTCATCAACATCTTCCTCGTCACTTTCAGCTGAATCTGCAGATTTTAGTCTCCTGTAATGAAAGATGAACACAGTCACAACTGAGGCACCAAAGATCACATTAGATTTAAGTAACTATTGCAGATCTTACCGTCCTTTGTCTACAGCCTCTTTGCTATTGGTCGATGTCATTTGAGGGGTTGAATCTTGAAGTACATCTTCAGTAGCATTAGTTTCCTGATTAGTATAAGAAAGTTAGTATAAATTAGCCTTAAGGATAGCATTAAGGTATAATGCATCATCAGTAAATGATTGCGTGGAATTACTGTGATACTTAGAAACATATAATCAAATATTATATTTAAGTTGACATGTAGTAAAAGAAGATGACAACACTGAACTATTGCATCTATGATAGATGACTGAAAAACCATGAGACACCAAGTTAAAATGACAAAACCAAACACAATCACAAAACAGAACTACACAGTTAGTCGATCATGGTTCTACTTACTAGATTAACAAACCCCAGAGAGTGCACCACATACATATCATCATAAAGACATAGCTGTTATGACAACTATTATTTAGAAAAGCTACTGCCTGCAAACCATGTACTCCCCAGTAGAAACACCAAAATGTCAGATGTTAGAATGGAGCAGTGTTAAAGAGCTAGGCTTTTGAAAAGCAAGTGGAGAAAACACGAGCCAAAAGGACGAACACATACTCATGTTATACACAAAAGCCTCTTTGCAGTTAAACCAACGCAGAATCATGCTGTCAGGTTTGTCTTTGTTCAATTTCCATTTCAGAGTGAACAATTCAAGATATGAATCAATAGCGCAGACCTCTAATTTAAACAAATTATTCTCATTGATTCATGTCCTGAAGTACCTGTAATGCGATGTGCAAATGGAATTGACCTTTTGCTGGTGGCATTCTGCTACTTACTCTGTGGGAGAGAAGCAGCTCTCCATTGGCCTGGTTGGATGAGTACAAGTTGACGTACTCCCCCTCTCCACCCTCGTCGTTGGCACTCTCGCTCTACAGGAAGAGAGTAGGAACACAGGCCGAGAGCATAAGGAGCGGAGAGGGGAATCATGTTTTCTATGGGTGGGACTGTGGCAAAGACAGCAGCTAGCGAAGGATTATATCATGCGAGTGTCTGAAAGACCACCAGGGGGTACTAGAGTGCATCATTTAAACATTAGTGTCAAAACATCATGCAGTGCAAAACGCTGTACTAGAGACTTGTGTATAGGGGCAGTCATCAAACAAAGAGCAAACATGACTCTTTAAATTATCAAAGTATTGGCGCAGGACACTGATGTTGAAAAATAAAGACAACTAAAACAAGGGCCACTAATTGTATCATACACTTTTGGATAAGGGATTCATTTACACCCTGGACAGCTTTTACTTAACATGGGCTGCCTGTCCACTTGTTAGCTCACCGCAGAGGTATGGAGAGAATCAGTAAGAGAAGACTCAGAGGGAAGACAGACAGCCACAGAGCCCATTGAGCCAGCCAGTGAACCGTTGGGTCCGCCCCCGCTGCCATCCAGACAGGTGGCATTGGTCAAGGCAACCTGGTCCAAGCTCTGTGATTGGTAAAAAGCAGGAATAAAAGAAATGATAGTGTCAGAGGAGTAGAAAGGTTTAAGACAGAAAAGAAAATAAAGATATTCTCAAATCAGAGGATGGGACATTTAGCTTCCATAGTTTTTTAGTTTTTTCTAAACCAGGACTTAAGTACAGATGTGCCTCAACATGTAACAATGCCCTGTATGCCATTTGCAACAAACTGACAGCAACACAAACATCTGCTGTGAGAAAGCCCAAAATGACCCCCAGAAAATAAAAACAACAATGTACCAACAATGTACAAAGTTGACCGTGGAGATGGCTTGACGGTAAATGCGTATGCGGTAGTCGGCAGGGGCAGTGAGGTACTGTTAACCTGTAGCAACACGTTGCACATACCAACTTTGTTTCAACATACCAGCAGCTCAAACGCAGATCCCTGATAAACACTGCACACAAATGTATTCATGCACCG